CTGCTGGTCTTGATGAAACCAGATCGAATTATTCACAGGAAAAGTGTAACAACGTGAGGCGATGAATTTAAACCATAACTGCAATTAATTCAGTGTTGGTCAGGATGTCATGGTCAGCCAATAAAGGAACATGTGAAGTATCGTGGGCTCACAATCCGCTATTTTGAACGGCACATCTTGTTGAAAACCCGTCCTGTTCACCTAAAAAGGTACGAGTACGTTTATGTGATTGCCTGTTTGGTCTTCTATATGCGGCTGTGGAATTTGTAGATAAATTACACGCTCTTGGGCAGGTGCCTGCAGTTTCTTGTAGCTTCCATGCTCAGATTGAACATACGAACTCCCATGTGGGTGAATTCTCATATGGAAGAAAATCGTTTCGATCTTAAAAATATCATTTTTAAAGTCACCTTTAAAGTACCGGAGGGAAAGCACTTATTTTTATTGATTGATATATGTATCAATTGTTGCTCTTTGTTGCTTCATCAGTTGCAAAAATCAATGGACAAATTTATTGCTTTTAGATCGCGACATCTCAATTAAAAGTATTCGTAAGAAGAACAAAGTGTATAAATGTTCGGCAATAGTTAATGCTAACGGATATTGTTGATATTTTATTTTGTTGATATTCATAATTATTCACTCTAATTAGATACAATTTCTACATATAGGCTTCAAGTGGAAGTTAAATTATCGGAATATGAAGTATTTGGCTGTAAAACGCCCTATTAGTTAAAGCAGTACACAGGTAATTAATTTCCGGCCATGAGGCGATTTCCTTCCTGGATATTTTATATTGTTTTTATGTACAGGTTGACACCGCCGTGTTTATACATAGTCTGATTGTGATTAGAAAAATGTTTGCTTTTATAGATTTTCTATTGATTAAAACGGAATTAATATTTTAAAAAAGGTCAACTGTTTTCGTTTTAAAATAATATCAATTGGAAGGAACTGCAGTAAAATGCATATCGGTGAGGCTCCATTTTGCATTGCCATTTTTAATTGCAAGTTTAATTAATGTATTCGCATATACGTTTGCTCAGGTTAAATTTACTTGATTTTGCTGGGATTTTACGAAGACTGACATAAAAGTTTGTATTACATTTTTATCTAGTTTCATCGTTCTCTCTGCTTTCTTGAGAACTGCTAACGCTTAAAATTAGTTGGGTAGTTTAAGAAACAATTTAGAATATTTAGCGTGTTCCGAATCTACCATATTTCTAGCTGAAATTAACATGTTTTTGAAAAATCTACAATTTATATAATCTCTTCTACAATTCAATCATCTCTTCTACAATTTATATAAAATTTGGTCAATATGTTGCATTGTTTTAACTCTCTTCTAATATGTGGAGTAAAGGTGTTTGCATGGATTTGGATTTTTTTTTGCCCTCTAAGTCACGCTTTAATTAAAACAGAAGGTTTTAGCTTCAGTTTTGTTCTTGATATTTCGGTTTATAAATATTTTAAATCAGTAAAAAAATATGTGTTTGATTCTTTTAATGCAAACGCATTATTTCCGATTTTGATCAAATTTCTATTAGTCAGGCTGTGCCTCCGTTTGTCGCGTTGATAAATTGCGTTTTTGATGGGGAAAATAAGCTTTACACTGCGACAATTTTGCCAGCATTACGTTCACAGAAGCCTCTAACAAATCAGCATCTTTATTCCAATTTGGACTGCATGGCCTGGATTATCATTCTCAGTCTTTGAAAATAAATTACATGCAAAAAATTATCAGAACAACAGTAAAAACACTCTGATAATTGCTATTAAATTGACCAAAAACGTTTCTCTGACTTTCAAATCTAATCTTAATGGTGCCTCGCCATAAACCTGAATTTCGCACATTCAATTACCATCTAGTGTTGTACCAAGTTATAATAATCACTTTAAAGGCAAATGTTTCATTCATTTATGACTGCTTTTCACTTTTCGCCACTGAGCCAAACTATCCCAATTACGAGTGATAATTTCGTATGGGAAACATCTCTTTCCATATGTCGTTTAGGGATCACATTAATTAATATACACAATCTTAGACAGACGATTTTCACATCCTGTTACAAAAACTGAAACAACTCCTCCTAAATGCCGATTTTCCCAATGCCAGTTAATATAATCTTCGGAATTGTATTAATCTCACTAATTACTGATTTTCACTTAGCATACATGCATATTAGCCTGAATTTGCAAAGTAGAATAATGGAACTGCTCAGGAATAAAAGTGAGAATTTAGTTCAATTGGTTTTAATAATGAACATGTCTGTAAGTGATTGCTTGTTGGCTGCATGGATTCAAAAAATCCCTTTTCCATTTAACAGACCCTTGAGCTGAATGTATAGAATTATGTAGATTATAGATGCAAAAGTGAATTTTATTGGAAAAAACTCTTCATCCTCGGAAATGCATTAAAAATTTATAGATTAGCGCAAAATCAATAACTCCAGCGTAACATGGAGCTTGCACTCAATCAATTCTTCACATCTATTTCTCTTCAGGTAAAAGCGCAAGCATTAGTCGTTTGGCCTGCTCCTAATGATCAGACGCCTGCTATTAACTGCCATTTGATTAAATTGAATGATGAGATATTATAAGTAATAATGATTCGATTTGCTTTTCAGATTATTATCGTGCTAAGTATCTGTGCCAACATTATGCGCTTGTATTTACATCAATAGTTGTTGGGAATTTCAATAAATCGGCTAGTACATGTTGGTTTTCTTCCTGACTATATATTTGTCTTTCATGTCAAACCTGCTTGTACCGCATAATTGATCGCTTTATTTACAGCATAAGAAGCTTTTTTACAACTCATTTTCCTATAGAAGTAGACGCAAGGATTATGATCGGTGCTAGTTATTCTTGAATAACATCTTTAATCTACATTCCTTAAACTAATTTTTAGCTTTTTGTTTAAAGTATCAACTGCATGCCTTTTTCTGCTAGGAACATCAGCAACCACGAAGAAAGCCGATATTTTCGGCAATTTTTGAGGAACTTTCTTTAAATAAAGTTTGTGTTTTGTCAACAGGATATAATACATTTGCTCATATTTAAATAAATTTTACTTGAAACCGTTGAGTTCTCGGTCAATTAAAAAGAAAATTCGTTTTAAAAACTTCATATGTGTGTCCATTAAAGTGGTGTCAAAAACACGTATTTCTCTTGCAGATCTTTATAATAGTTGCGTGTTAATAATCTGTAACGTTATGTTTCCCATAAAGTTTTTTGGTTTCTTCTAAATATTTGCAAATCGTCTATTTATTAAAGACAATCTTAAAAAACATGTTTGTTACTGATTAATTTTGTATTTGAGAGAGGCAACACTTGAAAACACACAGAGAGAGACACAAATGAAGACCGAATAGACTGATCTAGAAACAAACATTTCTCAGATATAGAGGAATATTTTAGTCGCACCAGAGGCACATTTGAAAAACACTCGAATAAAGGATCAAAATGCCAGTTTTTTTTTTTAAAAAACGAGTTGTAACTCATTCAATACATAGAAAAGGCTGCAATCGTGAGAATTAGAAAGAAAAAATTAGAAAATGTTCTCAATGCTTCTGTACTGTTTTTTAAACTAAGTTAAAGAGTAGTTACCTATAAAATACGAAGGGCTAAAACCCCAGAAAATGTTAGTTTAGATCCAAATAATACAGCAAAAGTTCGAGATAGAAGAACCCAGTAAAGAAAATTTAGGCCTTTTCTTGTCCTGCTGCAGATTTTAGAGCTGATTAGCATAACTTTTTGGTTAGGAGTTAGGAAAGCATTTATATGAAATAATCTGCACATACTGTGAAAAACATAAAACATATTGAAAATTTTTATATTCTATTAAGTGTTTTTAGAGCTTCTGATTTCATCTTCAATTTACGAACAGTTTGTGAACCGTTTTTTAACACTGAACTTCTAATTTTTTTAGAAGCCAATAATTTCATAGAACTTTAAGCCAGTCCAAAGATTAGTAGTATAAAAAAAAGTATACAAGTACAAAGTATTCGAAATAAATGGTTTTAATATCTCAGAGTTGTACATTTCCCATCAACATATATTTTAAATAATAATTTTTTTATATACTAAATTACTTATATTTTCTGATATTTAGAAAGTGTTTTCCTTTCGTTCCTTCGAAAAGATCCAAATCTCGAGCAGGAAAAAATTTAAAATTTACATAAATTGAGCGAGTTTTTGGTTCACAAATGCACAATTAATTTGAAACACTTTTTGGTTGTTTTTTACCAACGATGAGCTTTGGGCGCTCAAATATGAGCTTCGGTTTCAACATTCCTCCTTACATTAGCTTTTGCTTTTTATTTTTGCACTTCTATTATTTTATTCTTTGCACATCGTTACGAAGAATCTGATTTTATGTGTTTAAATTTTGAGTCTCATTTCCCCTGCAATATTTCATATCATTCTAGTCAGATTTTTGTCTCAATAAGTAAGAAACTGAGCAAGATCTTAACAATTTTTTAGTTTCTGCGGAAGAATTATACCCATTTGTCTGAGTTGTGCTACAAATCTGTTTGCAATTGAATCGGACATTCTTTAGGTTTAAGTCCATTAGCAATTGCAATTGCAAGAGCAGTAGCAAGAGGTTACATTGCCACCCATTGCAGAATTGCTCTAATTGGAAGTCACACTGCACCTAGCACTACAGCTTTGATGCAACTTTTAAAAAACAAACATTCATTAGCACATAAATGCTCAGTATATGCAAGTAAAAGCCTGGAAACGAAATTAGTGAAACTGAGCAACCTAATTCCATACTAGCATGAAGCTATCGTTATCCGTAATACTATCAAAACATCGTTTGCATTAGAGCCAATGTCGACATGTCTTGTAAAAGCAAATTAAAATGATATATTACGACAATATATAAATGCGCCTATTTTCTCCCCGAATCAGTGTCTTCTGGACAGTTAACTCAAATGTTGCTGATCATTTTTCTCGTGCTTCTTCATGGCTTTGCTAGTGAAGGAAACAACAATATGGACAGAGTTTCTCTTGCTGCCTGTATTGTTAGGGGTGAAGAGTTGTTTTCTGTCGCGTTCAAACCCATTCTAATTTCCCTGCCAATTTCCGAACAAGATCCTGAAGATAAATCATCTCTCACTTCCAGCTCTCTGCTCTTAGATGGTCTTTCTACGAGCATGAAATGGACCGTAGTTGTCACCAATATCAACAAAGGAAAAATTATTATTCCCAAGCACGGAAGAGCCAACACGATTTTAAATTACATAATATTCTTCCGACACAGTAGAGAGCTCATAGAGATATTAAGCGCGCTTGGGCGAATGCAAGTGCTGAATCCGCACGCAAGGTTCCTAATAGTTTCTTCAACTAAGTTCAACTTGGTTAAGCCAGTGATCAAAGAAATCTTCCGCGCTTTGCATACATACCATGTTTTAAACGCTGTGCTGCTGATTGGGGATCCCAGTTCGGAGTTTAGCTTCAATGTTTTCAAGCTGATGCCCTTCTGGAACAACACTTGCAAGCCCAACATTGATAAGGACGTGACTGAAATCGACTCTTGCACAAATGGAACGTTTCTTCTGGAATCTGAGTGGTATAACGAGGACATCCCCAAGACCTTCCGGTCCTGCGAATTAAAAGTGGCTTATGCCGAATGGCCTCCATATGCAGTAGACATGCACAATATTTCCACTCTAGCTCCCAGTGAGTTTCTGGAACATGGTATTGATGTCGGGATGGTAGCCAACATTTTCGCCTACATGAACGTGTCTTTGGTGTTCATAAAGTCTGAAGGAATTGGGGAAATTTATCCAAATAGAACAGCCACTGGCCCCTTTCGCACTTTGTATGATCAGCATGCTGATATTGCTGTAGGAGGAATATCACAGACTCTGCTCCGGATGGTTGTTTTTGACTGCAGTTTCACTTACAGGGTTGAGGAATTGGTATGGGTAGTGCCGCACGACCATTTGATTCTGACAGAGTTAGTCGGGCTTGCCGGCATTATAAAATTCAATGTCTGGATTGGAATAGCTGCACTATGCGTCACCACAACAGCCATTATACTGCTGTTTGCCAAAAGAAGTGAAGTTGAACACAAAATGTTTAAAAACCCAGGAAACACTGTTCAGTCAATGCTTTTGGCTACAGTCAACCTGCCTTCTGGTATGCTACCAAAAATTCACGAGACCCGCTTAATCTTCTCAATGGTTCTACTATTTGCTCTCATCTTCAACGCAGCTTACACGACCTATTTAACCAGCGTCCTAACAAAAGCTGACTTGTACAGGGAAAAATACGCCAATGTAACAGACATACAAGACAACAACCTGAAAGTCTACATCAGCCCGAATGCCGACAGGTTTTTCCAGAAAAACGACACTTTGGACTACAAACTTGTGCAAACTGCAACCACCTGCCCAATCACTAGCTACAGCCGCTGTCTTGGCGATGTGGCCATTCACAAAAACGCCACAATTCTAGCACTAAAAGGGTTTGTGGAATACATAAAGAACAGCTATATTTCAACCTCCAATTCGTATCTTTTGCACCTGCTGAAACCAGTCGTTTCCTATCAGCTAAACATTGTGATGGTGAAGGGATTTTGGGGGTACGAAAGAGTGAACACTTTACTGAACAATGCGGTGGCTTCGGGGCTGGCAGCGAAATGGATGACAGTGCCAAGAAATAACAATAATTTTATCAGCAAAGTGGTAGTGGAATCGGAATTGAGCAAAGGCAGCAGCACGCTGAATTTCAAAACGCTGCAGACTGTTTTTTATCTGCTACTAGCAGGGGATTTGATTGCCATTGTTGTTTTTTTCTTGGAATTAGTCGCTTTTAGGCATTTTAATCAAGTGCAGAAAGCTTAAAGTAGGTTTGCTTTTGATTTTTTTCGGAAATTTTTATGTTCAGATGGTAGTGGACATTGAGTCTCTGGCATTTTTGAGTGTATTTAGTGTAGAAAACTTGCACAATATTTCAAGTCTCAAGTTAGTATTACTGCAATTTTTTGAGTAAAGTATAGAGCGAAAGAGCCGTAAATGTAGATATAGGGCGTTATGAACAGAGCACTGAATATTATTCAAATTTAAAGTTATCAAGTTTTTACTCCAACCGGACTGTTGGGTCTAATTTTACGTATGCAATTTACTTTCATTCAGGTATTAAACATACATTTGTGTTATTTGTTTAATTATCTTTCCTACGTTTAAGCTTAAGATCTTTCGACCAAACAAACTTCATACGATAAATCAAAGCGCATGCAAATTTTTGAAATGAGTTTCCTATTGTTGCTATAAAATTGACGCAACATTAGATATTATTTAGTCCGTCGAAGTTTGAGGAAAATAAATCATTTGCTGAAATTTTCCAAGCAGAATCTTAATATATTATCATTATTATCTCCTAATCTACATGCGGATCAGGGGATAATTTTTTGACCGATACAAGAGCAAATGAAAAATTTGTTGTAGTGAGTCGCTCTGGGTTGTAGTAAGAAACATAATGTTTTTTCTAACCAAACCACCAAGGTTTCGGCAATTTATTATTATTTTTGTATTCATAAGAGCTGCAAAAATTGCACTATAATTACAAATTGATGGGAACCTACGAAACATTATATTATTACAATTTGTTGAATATTGTCAAAAATAAAACCAGAGATGTAGTGAAAAACGCGTTTGTTTATATTTATTTTTGAAAACGGTGAAAATCGTTTGAAAGTATGCTCAGCAAAACATTAGCCACATCACTTTTTGGAGTGTTGGTTTTCGTTGCAACCAATATTTGTTCCAAATTTTTTTAATCTAAAGACGCCCGAGTTTTTTTTTTTGGTCTTTTCCCCCTAAACCGAATGAGCCACTCTGTACATCATATAGTTATAATAAAATTAAAGTCAGATTCCTTAAATTATATTTTGTTTTCTTGGTTTCGTCCCGGCTTCTACTCGGAATGCTACGATTGTCAGTTACTAATTCTTTAGTAATTTTTAATCAATTATTTACCTTTAGCGCATTCACGTGGCATGTTTTTATCATTTGTTTCGTGTGGCATCCACTAATTATTATCGAAACTGCAATGCTTATACTAATTACTGTCGCTGTTATCAAGCATTAATCAAGGTACAGTTCAGTGGCATTCTCAGGGGAATTTCTATTATTTTATACGAATTATTATCTACTTTTATAGTAATTAAAAAAATTGTTAATTATTTCCAAGGATTCAGCTATTGAAAGTACCTAGGTATATATACAGGCTAATACAATAATAAATTTACAAATCTTTCTTGTGTAAACTAGATCCAAATATTAGCAGGCAAAACAGGAGCAAAACAGAATTGAAGTTCGTAAACATATATTGAATCAAATGTTTGCAAATTATGGTCTATTCGAATTTCAAAATACATTAGAATGTTAACGGATAAAACAGTACTTAAGCAAAGATTCCCTTCCGTAAAGGGAATTGAAATAAACTTAATTTCCGCTATAGCGTTCAAATTTTTTAAAATTTGTTCCAAGAAGTTGCAAAATTTACAAATACACAGCATAACAAATTTGCGGTCGAAACGACCTTCTTCAGTCTTAAACTTAATTTGTCGCAAGAAATTTGACTTTTTCATAATATTTTCTTAAAAATCAAATCACATATTTGTAAATCGTTACATAAATTGAGTCTGTCCTCTTCTATCTCTCTAGAAGTTCTTAATTTGAAAGAAACTCTTCTTTTGGTTAATTCCTGAACACAACATATTGAAACAAAGAGTCCGCTGAAACATTTGAACACTTAAATTTAATGCATCTGTAAGGTTCCACGCCCGTCAGCCTCTAATATAAATAGATCTAATTTTAGATTAATTGTTGCATTAATTAGTTTTAAACCGGATATATGAAAAAATTATTCACTTTTCCTGTCAGCTTATATCAGTTGATAGCATCAAAACGTTCAAATTCAATGCCATCGGCTTTTTCGCTCTGAACGAATTAGTTGAGTTTCTGCACTCTTTTGTGCCATGTTGGGAAAGATTTTGTGCCTGGTCAGCTGCTTTTGCTGCTCCCAAAGTGCAAACTACTCAGAAGATGCGTCCCTCCTAAGTTGCCTTGTAAAAGGACTGGATAAAAATTTTGTGAATTTCAAGCCCATTTTAGTGAGTTTGCCTGTGGATTCTCGCTCCAGAGTACACGGCAGTGAAATACTCATAGGCTTGCGCCTGTGGAAGAAATGGCCCATTATTTTAGCTAATATTAACCGAGAAGCTCTGGAAGCCTTTAAAGATCATAGGACGGATAAACATGAAAATTATCTGCTATATTTCAATGGTAGCCAAGAGGCTTTGAAGGGATTCCAAGCTTTGGATGCGATGTTACTCCTTAACCCCCATGCCAGATTTCTAATAGTGTTGCATGCAGATGTACAGCCAGAAGATTGGGCAGGTGGAAAAATTATCCACCTGCTGTATCAATATTATATTTTCAACGCAGTTATTTACATTGGTAAAAACCTTTATAAACCGCAGCCATTTTTTGAAAAATCCTGCAAGTTTAACGCAGAAGCACGCCTCAAGCTCGTTGATACCTGCAAGAGCGGTAAATGGCTGAAAGACGTTCATTGGTATGGGGAAAGTGTTCCCAATAAATTTGAGTCTTGCGATCTGAAGATCAGTTATATCGAAGGCCCCCCACATGTGATAAACATGGAAAATGTGTCCATTCTGGACAAAAATGAGTTCCTGCATCATGGTTTTGAAATAGGGATTCTAGCCAATATTTTTGCCCATATGAATGCTACTTTGAGATTCACAAAGTCTGAAATCATCGGCGATATGTACCTAAATGGCACTGGGACAGGAAGTTTTCTACATCTGCTCAGGAAAGATGTTGATATAGTTGTGGGCGATTATGGGGCAACTGCGCCAAGAATGACGTTTTTCGACTGCAGCGTTCCATATTCGGCGGATGGACTCGTATGGGTAGCTCCTCACTATTTAGTGTATTCAACTGGATTTATCAGCATTGTTAAAACCGGAGTGTGGGTCCTTATCGGGTTATTCATTTTCATGGTCAGTTCCATTATAACTGTCCTAGGCAAGTATGCAGAAAACGAACATGCACTCTACAAGCAGCCTTTCTTAGTATTCTCGAACGTTCTAACTGTCGTTTGCAATTTACCAGTAGCAACCCTACCAAGAAACCATAGAATACGAATATTTTATCCCATGATATTACTGCTTGGATTCGTCTTCAGTACATGTTACATGACCTATCACATGAGCCTCATAGCACGAGATGGGCTTAGGAAGGACAAGTTCAAATCACCTCTGGATATCGCCAACTACAAGCTGAAAGTCTACATTGTTCCGAACACCAAAAGGTTTTTCCAAGATAAATCGTCTACAGTGGAGTCTTTTCTCGTAGAAAACGCCCAAATATGCGCGCTGAAGGACTTCGATACATGCCTGCGAGAAATCGCCCTTCTTCGATCTGCAGCATTAGTGGCGTCCAGACCCTACATCGAATATGTCCAAGACAATTATATTGTTGAGGCTGATTATCCGCCGTTCGTATTTTTCGAAACTGGCATTAAAGGATCGATATTCTTTTACATGGCGAAAGGCTTTTGGGGAGTTGATCGACTGAATGGGTTGCTTTACAAAGCCTTTGAAGCGGGACTCATTGACAAGTGGACCAACATTGCAATAAGCTCGAAATATATGGGAAGAACAGATAAATCCAAACTGAGCTTCAGTGGAAAACCGTTAAATTTGAGATCGTGTGCGCAGTTTTGTTACGGCTTGTTGTTGGCGTATTTGATCGCTACTGTTGTTTTTATAGGGGAGCTGGTTGTATATAGAAAAACGCATAGTTTTTGAGCAAGGCGTGTTAATAAAAGTCCTTGATTGATGAAAAACTGGGTATAATTTTTTAATTTTTTAGGTACAAGTCACTTTCCTTTCCTTTGTATTCTTCAAGCAACTAATTGCGGTCTAAAAAGTGCGTTTAATAATCACATTGAAGATGAAGATTACTAACATCGGAATGCTAGTTTTCAGTAAAATGTTCGGAAGTTTTAAAAAGGGGAAGGTATTAAAGGTCTGTTTGCTGTAGGTTTTTGGCAAAACCTTCAGAGTAATTCGAGATATTTTTTTTGCATTTTTATTGCATTTTGACGTGGCATCTTCTGCTTCGCATTTGTTGGGCTTTTAGTGCTGAAGAACTTACCACTTCTGCTGGTGAATTCTAGTAATCTGAAGATCATAAAAAATCAATCACCAATATATCCCACTTTTAAAGGATTACTAGCCATTATCAGACGAACTTCCTGCTCAAAATAAAGTTTTCGATGTTAATATAAATCTCCTATCTATCTGCAGGTTATTCGAGAGCTCAAAGTGGAGCAAGTAAAATGGAAACTTTTCACGTCGAAACGTTAGAAATTTCGTCTCAACTTGTAGATTGTTGTTTGCGTTTCTTCGTCGCCTCTTTTGACGATGTGGAAAAATATTGAAAAGATCGGCCTGATATTCTTTGTGTACCGTATTATAAAAGTTTCACGCACTTTCTTATGAACTTAATATAATAATCTGAAAAATCTTCAGTTTTAAATGCCACATAACGTTAAAATCTTCGCAGGCGTTTTATACTTGCTTCTTCACAAAAAACATTTTTTAACTTGGCGGAGTCTTTTCCAAAATAAACAAAAACTTAAGCAGAAAAATCATATCTTGTCAATCATTGTCTTCAAAAAGGAGACATTTTCAAGAAAACAAAAAAATACCAAAAACTTAAGATTGTTTGTTGAACAAAACCTGGATTTCTCGATGAGGTTTCTCCAAATTCATCGATAGAGAACATAAATTAATGACAAAACACTAAAAACAAATTACAAGTTTAAAAAACTTATTTTATGAAGGCAAATGAAACTCAATTTAAATAAAATCTCATTATCTCGAAACAGGACACATACGAGCCTCACGTTCAGCTTCGAATGTTTTCATTACATAATATTAGAACTTTTATTTTTATATTTTAAAATAGGGTCATTTCTTTTAATTTTTCTCTTGTATTTGGGTTTTCTGTATTTCAGATAGTGGAGATTTCAGGAATTTATCTCTTTTCCTACAATCTTTTTACCGCTGATTTCATTTGACATTGAAAATTCCCAGTTTCCAGTTTGCCAAATTCCCAAAGTTTGACCAAATTTTTAATTTGATTAAACTTCAACTGTTCTTTGCACCGAAATCCGGTTCACACATAAGCGTAGCTTGTAATTTTTTTGGGGGTTTTTTGAGTTTTTATTTAAATGCTTAAATCTTCCATTGCAACTAAAATCTGTATAAAATTAACACTATCATAGCTAGTGCAATTGCAATAAAAAATATCTAAGTTTAAACCGCAATCTTTACCAATAGTTGATTCCTGATAAATTCAGACATTGAACAACTTTATCAACCCCTTCACATTCTCAGAATTAAATAAACCAACTTTCTTCCACTCGTTTAGTGTTAGGTTGGTGTCAACGGCCTCAGAATGGTCTCAGTACTTAACTGGCTTTAAAATGCTTCAAGAGATGATCTCAGATCAGAAAGTACTTGATTAATATCAGATCAGCTTCTTAATCAGCAATATTAGTTGCTAGAGTTGTGTACTGGGCATTCTGATCAAGTTGTCCTCTTCAAAATCCTTCAAAATTGTATGATATTGCTTACCAGCTTAAGTATATCTTGTGTCTTCCTAAACACCTTCAAATCGTTCAAACTGAGAACGTCCAGAATGGTATTTAAACAGCTAGCAACAAAATCAAGATGATATATTTATTAAAAATAGTCAAAATAAGTGCACCATTTTATACGAAATGTTACTTAAAGAATACGGTTTTAAGTCATTTTCCATTGGACTAACCGTTTTTTGAATTTTCCCGATCAATAGAGGAGTGATCAAGTGAATAATTGTATTTACAAACTCGTGTATCCTATAACGTTGCGTTAAATTATAAACTTTTACCCTTCAACTTCGATGGCCCACGTTCAAAGTCTTTGGTTAATAATTTTTCCGTTTTGAAAGCAGCAAATAAAATTCTGTTTGGGTCAAGCGATCGAATTGTATTAGCGTTAACTGGGGCTTTTGCATTTAAGCTTGCAAATTGCAAAACAATCTGTGAAGTAGCGAAATGGTTCGCCGATAATCGCTGCACAGGTCATTGGAAAAAGGGATATTTTACGAAAGTATTTTACGTTATTTGACTAAATAGCGAACTTTTTAACGGATATTTACTTTCCGTATTGATGCATAAGGCTTGAATTGAAATGAATCGTTGATCAAGTGAAGTAGTGTTCGTTTCAAAACGCTTTAAAATTTGCTGACTTGTTTTTTATTATTTTGTTTTATTTTGTCTAGAAAGGAAGATTTCACACAGTAAAAGTAGAAGCTGACAACCAATTATTACTGATAGTCTTTATTTATAATTGGGCTTTGTCGCGAAATCTAGTTCAGCTATTCGCTGCGGGTCCAAAATGCCGCTTTTCCTAATTCTTCACCAAGTTGATGCGGATTTCTAAAAATAATTGCAGTTAAGTGCTGAGCAATTTTTCCAAGGTGCATAAATCAACACAGTTCAGTTCTGACGGAGAGCAACGAGATAATTGATAGTGAAACAGTGATATTAACTGAAGATACACGAGTAAACTTCCAGGCTCGTATTGATTGATTGACTGCAAATATACAGTTATAACTGCAAGTATATTGAAGCCAATGTCTTTAAATTTAATTGTTTTCTGCCTTGATCGTTTATTTGTTTAGCCTTTTCACTTCCAAGTTCATTTAAGGTTTGATCACCTTTGTACTGTTAGCTTTGTTGGAACTATTAAAAATGCTGCAAAATTACAAATATTGTCCACCTACACATAAAATAACACCAAAGTAAAAAAAATGTTTCAAATGACTGCCTGCCTAATCAGTGGCATTTCTTTCGAAAGCACAAGCGCAAAAACCAAATGATTTGTTTATTGAAGCTGTAAACAACTTGTATCTGGTTAAATCAATTTACTTACAAACGTTCCACTGTTTTTTCGGCTAATCGCATCAGTGAGCAACAGTTTGAAGAAATGTTGGCAGCTTTATCCAAATATTCCCATCGCGTTTACTTCCAGCAAATTGAGAACGATTTTGAGCATATTAGAAGCAAATCGTTTTGTTTTGGTTTCCAAGAGATTTTGCGGATAGTTTCGATATGGCCAAAGTTAAATCTCAATTTTACTGAAGTTGTTTTCGGTGCCCCGAATTTTTCTGGGTCAAGCATTTTACTGGAAATGTGCTTTGTTTCGCATCAAATAATCAATTAGATGTGACTTCTAAATAATTTTTTAAATTGCGAATCAACGGCCGGTTGAAAAAGGGAAGTAATTAGTCATTCTACAGGAACGAAATGACTCAGGTAAGTTGAATCAATGAATATTGATTTAACACACTCTATATCGGCATCAAATCTCGATGCTACTTGTGCATTACTTCGTTTACTTCCGATCAGTTGGCTGTAGTTAACGGGATTGAATAATTGAGGCTCCTTCACAGCTTCCAATTGGCTTTTTATTTTTGTCTGGGGAACTTTGCTACATATTTCAGGTTCAGCAGCGTAAGGATATTAACACTTTAGAGCATTCATTTAATTTCAGTATCAAAAAAATTACGAAACCGGAGATGCTCGAATATTTAATGAGCTAGAGCGTTGTTAGCCATCTATTTTTCTAGAATCCTATTATGCCATTTTTAGTTATTCCTCCGATCCCCTATCAAGCTTGTTTATTGCGTAATTATTACTAAGTCATTTGCATACACCGGTAGAGTTAACGAAGAATTAGTGACTATAATTTCGGGTCGTTGACTGTTTTTGGGCTGTTCATGTAAAAACCCAGATACAAAGAGACTTAACTTAATCCCGCTAGTTATACTTGGAGTGTTACAATAACGAAATGAACAGGTTTGATATGCTAATGAGTGATATTATTAGCTCGAACATGTTTACTCCGGTTTTATCGTTTTGCGAAAAAGTTCTGTCGAGATGAATGTCATCATCTCTATTTAAAAGAATCGTGCGATTAATAACCTCTTAGATTTCATTATTAAAATTCGCTCGCCTGCCAGGTGACATCGACGACAAACAATACTAATTACAAAAGTTAGTTGCTATAAAAATTCCTTGCTTAGATTAATTTTGGTCTGGCCACTATTAAATTAAATGGTGAACTTTGGTTGTGGCAAAGAACTGTTCTTTATTATAAAGCTGCGTGCTTTGCTCCTTCTTGTTCAATGGAGTTCAGGTAGCTTACGACGCGTAGTTCTTTGAAACTACTTAACAATATGAGCATTTGTGCGAAGTTATCACCTGCCTGCAACCTATAAACGATGCGAGAAGAAATTTTCAAAGGCGATTCTGCACGCAAAATAACGCTGTTAAGTCCTTTGGCAAAATCTCGATGTCTCATTGTTGCAATGGAATGGTTCAATTTATAATTGATATTTTACACTCTCCTGACCTCACATGAAAAGCTCTGCTTATGTGGATTTTGACAACTAAATAGCTTCTTTATAGATTTATTAGTTCAGCTGTTTTTTGGGTACTAATATTTTGGTAAATTGGTTTGAAATAATCACTATCGTTCTATAGAATTAATGTGTTTATTTAAAGTATTTTCCTTGCTTTAAGTAAGTCTCTCCATCAAAATTGGAAAAAATATGACTTGTCCTACATATTTGTTATAAAATGCGGATGGTACCAGCCAGGGCATATGGATGTTCAAATTTCAGCTGCTTGTAAAGGAAGATTTACTTATGGGTAGGCAAACGTTCATTTGGCTAGGAAGAATTGGTCAAATTT